AGATTATTTGAGCTCACATCCCTCAAACTCCATCTTTCCAGGCAGATTTCTGCTTCTACCACATTTCCTTCCATTTATTAATGGCACCTCCGTCCTGGTCATGCTTCTCTTACTAAACTTCGAACTTTAGTTTCTAATGGGCCATTAGGACTCTCCAAAGTTGAAACCTTTGATTGTTTGCATTGCCAGTTAGCTAAACAACCTGCTTTATCTTTTCAAAATAATATCTCTATTTGTGACACTCCATTTGGTTTAGTGCATTATGATATTTGGGTCCAGCCCCGGCTCCTACTGTGAATGGATACAAATATTTTGTTTTATTTATTGATGATTATTCAAGATTTACATGGATAGATTTTTTAAATCATAGGTCATAATTGCCTAAGATTTATATTGATTTTGCAACTATGATTAAAACACAATTTTCTTTTCCTATCAAAATTCTCCGTACGGATAATGCAATGGAGTATCGAGATTCCATCCTTCTCCAATTTCTGAAAATACAAGGAACCCTTGTCCAACGATCTTGTCCTCATACCTCTCAACAAAATGGTCAAGCCGCGCGCGAACATCGACATGTTTTAGATTCTATTCGGGCTCAACTCTATTCCGCATCTTGTCCAAAATTTTTTTGGGGTGAAGCAGCTCTCACATCAGTTTATACCATTAATCGTCTTCCTACTCCTGTTTTAAAGAACTTGTCTCCTTTTGAAAAATTATACAGTAAGACCCCAGATTATTATACTTTTAGACCTTTTGGTTGTGCTTGCTTTGTTCTTCTTCCTCCTCATGAGCATACCAAACTTGAATCTAATACTTGTCTTTGTTGTTTCCTTCGGAATGGGATAGAGCACAAATGCTATCGTTGTTGGGATCCTATTTCAGGTCGGCTACGTATTTCTCGTCATGTTACTTTTTGAGAACACACAATGTTCTCTACTTTGTCCAAATTTCACGATTCTTTGTCTACTTCCCAACCCCTCTTTACAAATTCTTCCAAAGACTTATTTCCAGATTCTGCCACTTTATCTACACATTTGCCTACAACCGAGTTAGTTTCTACAAACTCCTCTGTTCATGCACCTAGAGTTGAGTGTCTCCCTACAGACTCCCCTATTGAGGCTCCTTCTAACTTTCCATATGCTCCTATATCTATGGATTTGGATTCTTCTGATGATCTTGTTCCTCGTCTTCGCCGCTCAACTCGAGTAAGAGAAGTTCCTTTACATCTTAAAGATTATCATTGTTTTTCTACTATTCTCTCTTTACAAGAACCTAGTTCTTATCGAGAGGCTAGTACTAACCCTCTTTGGCAGCAAGCAATGTTAGAAGAACTTCAAGCCTTGTAGAAAACTCATACTTGGGACCTCGTAGAGCTCCCTTCAGGTAAAACTCCTATTGGATGTAAATGGATCTACAAGATCAAAACTCGCTCAAACGGTTCTGTTGAACGTTATAAAGCCTGGTTGGTCGCTAAAGGCTATACTCAAGAGTATGGCATTGATTATGAGGAAACATTTGCTCTGGTTGCTCGTTTGACCTCTATTCGGAGTCTTTTGGCTATTGTTGCAACTAAACGTTGGCCTCTTCTCCAGATGGATGTTAAGAACGCTTTTCTCAATGGCGATCTTGATGAAGAAGTTTATATGCATCCCCCACCTGGATACTCTCATAACTCTCAACAAGTTTGTCTACTTCGGCGTGCGCTATATGGACTTAAACAAGCGCCTTATGCATGGTTTGCAAAATTCAGCTCCACGATTGCACGATTTGGTTTCACTTCTAGTCCTCATGATTCTGCTTTGTTTGTTCGCCAAACTAACAAAGGTGCTATATGTTTTCTTGTTACTCTATGTAGATGATATGATTATTACAGATGATGATTCCAGGGCTATTTCCGATGTCCAACGTTATCTGAGTCAACACTTCTAATGGCTACTATTTATCTCAAGCTAAATATGCTGCTGATCCCACACTATACAGGCAACTGGTTGGTAGCCTTGTTTATCTTACAGTAACTCGCCGGATATTTCCTATGCTGTTCACGTAGTAAGTCAATTTATGGCAGCTCCTCGTACAATTCACTTTACTGTTGTGCTCCATATCTTACGATATGTTAAAGGTACTCTTGTGCATGGTCTTCATTTCTCTGCACACTCCTCATTAACCTTGTCCGCCTACTTTGATGTTGATTGGGTTGGAGACCCTACTGATCGCCGTTCAACGACTGGTTACTGTTTCTTCTTGGACGACTCACTTCTTTCATGGCGAAGTAAAAAGCAAACAGTCACTTCTCGGTCTAGCACTGAATCTGAATATCGGGCACTTGCTGATGCTACTTCTAAATTGATTTGGCTTAGATGGCTACTTGAAGATATGGGTATTAAACAATCATCGCCTATTGTTCATCATTGTGATAATCAAAGTGCAATCTAAATTGCCCATAATGATGTGTTTCATGAACGGACCAAACACATCGAGACGGATTGTCATCTTATTCATCAACATATTAAACATGGCACTGTACAACTTACTCATGTTTCTTCCGAAGATCAATCAGCAGATATTTTTAATAAAGCTCATCTCCCTGGATATTTTCAGTTCTTACTGCGCAAACTCAAGTTGACTTCTACTATCCCACCTTAAGTTTGAAGGGGGTGTTAACGTATATATTATAACGTATATATTTAGCATATATTTAGCTTTGTAAATTATTATTCTCATTAATTGTCTTTGATTTTCTTTCCTTTTCTTTATCTTAAAATTTGTATATATAGGACTTCATCCTTTGTAATTGGATTCAAGAGATATACATACAATTCATACTATCTGTAACTTTTTAGCCTATGAAGAATCTGTTTAGCTCTTTAGGTATGGGATTGAGTGGTTGGCATTATCTGTAACTTTTTAGCCTATGAAGAATCTGTTTAGCTCTTTAGGTATGGGATTGAGTGGTTGGCATTGAGCAAAGGGATTTGGCGTACCAAGAATGAATTCAGTAAGAAAAATCCTCCCACATTGGCCGTCCCTATATATAGGGATTGCATGGAATTATAAAAGCTTTTAATGAGGGGTGTTTTTACGTTTTGAATATCTTTTTATATCAAAAATTTAGAAAATGTTTTGGAACTATTTTTATAATTAAAAAAAAAAGTTTTAGGTTGTATTTAAAAAAAGAAAAAGAAAAAGAAACACATTTTAGAGCAGAGGTCTAATTCAAGAGAAACTTGAGTTATTATATATATATATATATATATATATATATATATATATATATATATATAGACTTGCGTTCAAATGAGGACAAGTATATTATAGAGGACTGTGAGGACAATTGTAGTGTGTGCCATTAGCATGTATGTCGTGTGCATGGTCGAATGTAGTCGTGTGCCACAGTTTGTATGTCGCGTGCATACATTTGTTAATTAATAGAGCCTGGGTTCGAAACCTGATATTTACATGTATTCTTGTGTGCCATTATGTATTAAACTGTGTGCCTGATAGTAATTTGTTGTGTGCCCATTATTTGTCCTCACAGTCCTCTATATATTGTTGTCCTCATTTGAACTCAACCCTATATATATATATATATATATATATATATATATATATATATATATATATATATATATATATATATATATATATATATATATATATATATATATACACACACCAACTCCTATATACATTCTTCCAGGCTGAACCATAATCCTAAGGGCCCCCCACACCCCGACCCGATAGAGCATTTGGGAGGAACCAACTTCTATATACATATATGAGGAACTACAGTACTGGAAATTTTGAAATTTCCGACCACCTGAAAATGATCTTAAATCAAGTCGAAAGCCTTGTTCCGATCACTTTTGGTATCCGGAAAAACCTTTGTTGCTATTTCTGACCACTTTTTGCTTTCGAATTTATTTAAGATCACTTTCAGGTGGTCGAAAATTCATAATTTCCAGCAGTGCTAGTTGTTGTGGTTAAATAATGTCCAATGAAGAAGAAAAAATTAGTAAAATAAAATGATCGAAATAAAATAATAAATAAAGAAACACATAAATCTTACAAATATTAGAAGATAAAATTTTAACTTTTGATGATAAGAATATTGTTATCTAGAATAAATTTTAAATAAAAGATGCATTGAATTAGTAAGTATTATGTTTCAAAAAGATTAGATTTAGCTTTTAGCAAATGCGTTTAGTTCTTCTTGATAATTAGATATTAACATCAATAGTACAATAAATGACACAGAATTGACAGAAATACTTTATTGACAATAAGCCACAGATGCATATATTCCACATCAAATAAGAAACACATGAAAAACATAACACATTTACAACAAAAATAAGATACACATGAAAAACATAACTCCTTTACAACAAAAATAAATAAATAAATAAAAGTGAATTTTGAATTTTGTAAAAAAAAAAAAGTTAAAACAAATAGAAGTTAAATTCAAATAAGAAAATCATATTAAAATAGATACACATTATTCATTAATTAAAAATTATTATTAAATTAAAATATATTTATTGAAATTACATATACACATATGTATGCATGCGTTTGTATTTTACATAGTAGGAGTGTAATTGGTAAAAGGAAAAAATATTGAGAGTAAACTTGGTAAGAAAGTATTAATGAACAACATAAAAAGCACCAAAGAAAAATATTTAATGTCACTTATTCTATTAACAAATTCTTAGTTCCAGTTAAAGACTAATGCAAAAATAAAGGCAAAAAAAAAAATAAAAATTGTGAAGTGTAAAATTAAAAATAAAGTGTAAAGGAAGAACACAAAGAACAAACATATACACAAACAAAGCTTGACATCATAAGAAAAATTGTGAAGTGTAAATTTAAAAATAAAGTGTAACCACTCGTACGTGAAAGTTGTACTTTTGGTAGAAAATCAAATACACAAACAAGGCTTGACATCATAAGTTAGTTGAAAATTGAATTTTCAATTCATTTAACAATCAAATGACCAGCCAAGCACCTTGTGCTCAGATGGCATGTAGTGACTTCTTCCATATGGGAAGTCATGAGATCGAGTCTCAGTGGAGGCGTTGTTGACTCTTTGTGCTTCAATAGGTTGAGAAAGTATGTTTGAACAGATACTACAATGTAATAGAGTCAGTAGCTTTCAAAGAAAAAAAAACAATCAAATGACCAAATTTGTAAAAAATTAAAGGAGATAAGATTTATAACATGAAAAAAATTGAGCGATGGAGAGTGTGATTTTTTGGACGTACTTGCCGCAATGGCATGTATAGGTGACTTTTTTCTTTTTAAAAAATATTTGTCATAATAATATTTTTTTTTCCCTTTATCCTCTTTTCTCTGCACTAAGGGTCCGTTTGAAAACTCGAAAAATGACTTTTGAAAAATGTTTTCTGGGAAATAAGTCATTTTTCAGAAAATATTTTTCTTTCTTGTATTTGGCTGCGCAACGGAAAACTGTCTTTGTGTGTTTGGTTCATTTTCCAGAAAATGAGCAGGAAAATGAATAGAATTATATACTTAACATTTAATTGTTTGGTACTTTTGATAAAATTCTTCTATGAATAGCACTAAGTCTTGAGAATAATTTTGAATATATATATATATATATATATATATATATATATATATATATATATATATATATATATATATATATATATATATATATAGGGTTGCATTCACATGCAAATCCCCTTAAAATACAAACCTAAGGACAAATAAGAGCCATTAGATTAGATTAGATTAGTGGATTAGATTTAAATAAGAAAACATTAATACTAATACTAAACTGATAACAAAAGGGCAAAAACGAGAATGCATTGAATCCTAATCAGAGAACAAACATGAATATAATGCCACGCTTAAATTATAGTGTAGTAATTCCACTAGGATTCTACTCTAACTGACACGGCACCCACCACCAAATCGGCAGCCCACCACCGCGACAAGGAAGCACAGCCACGCCGGTATTCAATGGCAACCACCGACAACCACCACCCAAGAATTCTGAGAGCCGAGCATGGATTATACCCCACCATCAATACCAGGTATATCGATATGTAAATTCACGATAAAGAAACAATAACTGTGCGAATTAGGGTGTAATCTACTGGACAATCCATACGAAAACAACGGTAATAGCATAGTAACAGCCCCACAGGAGATTAACGAAAGTGGACGCCTACGTTTCTGGTGTCGCACACACAACAATGTTCCCGCAAGCACCACACATAAACCACCCAATAGCAGTTCGCACACCCCACGCACACCGCTGGATTCTACCGTGCACATATTCACCCCACCCGCAATAAATCAAACCCCCCGCTATATCTAATGTGTATATTTGTTGTGTTTAACAGGTGACGGCCAACGCGGACACAGTGCAACAGAATGTGCCATGGGAATACACGAAGATGGTGCAAAATATTGGAGACCCACCACACAAAACGAGAAGACACCGTATGAAGGACAACAATTCGATACAGTAGACACAGGGATTGATTTCTACGTGGACTACGCTAAAGAGGCAGGATTTGATGTTAGGCACGGCACAAAGAGTAGAAATCGGAAGGGGGAAGTGTCAATCAAATACTTGTTGTGCTCACGGGAGGGATACAAAGCCGAAACAAAAGAACCCCAAAATACCACAAAAGGAAGAAAGGGACAGAGGAGAACGTCCAACAGGACAGGATGTAAGGCGCGTATGGTACTGACAAAGCGTAAAACAGCCGGATACAAAGTCCATGCAATCGAGTTGCGACATACACACTGTCTATGCTCAGACGCAGGCAAACCTTTTTTAAAGATAAATAGGCAACTTGACATCGGCCACAAAACCTTTTTGGCTCACTGTGCAAAGGCAAACATAGGCCCTACAAAAGCGTTCAGACTATTCAAAGAGATGGTTGGAAGCTTTACAGATATAGGAGCAACATGCATTGAGTTCTGCAATTTTAGGCGAGACCTATTGGCCTATATAGCTGAGGCAGACGCCCAAATGGTGATAGAAGACATGTTCAAAAGAAAAGAGGACAACCCAGACTTCTATTTCGATTTTGACATAGACGAAGACGCTCAATTAACCAGATTATTCTGGGCAGACGCACAATCCCGAAGGAATTATGCATGCTTAGGCGATGTCATGTCATTCGACGCTACATACAGCACAAACAGGTAAATTTCAGTATAGATTGAATACAATAGCTACTGTGTGTGCACGCATAGAAATACAGGTGTGCGCACAGAATACTGTAGGGACAGAAAATAACTAACACGCCGATCACACCACTAACACCACCCATGCTTACACTGCAGGTACAAGTTAGTCTTCATCCCCTTCACGGGCGTGGATAACCACAAGAGATGCATAACATTTGGGGCAGGCCTAATTGCGAAAGAAGACGTAGAGTCATATGAGTGGCTACTAACTAAGTTCAACACTGGAATGGAATACACGCCAAGATGTACTACAACTGACCAAGACCCTGCACTAAAGATAGTTGTACCACAAACTATGCCAACAACAAGGCATAGATTCTGTATGTGGCACATTATGACAAAAGTGGGGAAAAGGTAGGGGTTGCCTTGTGGCACAACCCGGACTTCAAAATGGCATTGAATAGTACCGTATGGGATGACACACTGACCACAGATGAATTCGAGAGAAAATGGGAAACAATAATGCAAGAATACAACCTTAAAGACCATAGGTGGTTTACCCAGCTTTACGAGGCGCGTGCATCATGGATACCAGCATACTTCAATGACATATTAATGGCGGGACTACTCCGGACAACATCAAGATCAGAATCAGAAAACAGCTATTTCGGTAAATTCACAAACCACCACTGCAGCCTAGTAGAATTCATAGCACAATACAACAGCGCCATCGGAGAACAAATACACAAGCAGGCAAGACTAATCGCAGAAAATGAAGGTTCGTACCCTGAAACCAAAACCCCTTTGAGTATTGAAAAGCACGCTACTACAGTGTACACTATAAACATATTCTACGAATTCCAAGAAGAGGTATGGGAAGCCAGTTTCACATGTGACATCATCGACAAACACAACATAGGGGATATATGGAAATACACAATTAAGGACACAAATGGAAAAATGTATGAAGTAACTGAAACTCCACAAGCAAGGGAAATAGAGTGTGCGTGCAAAAAGTTCAACCGTGTTGGTATACTATGCAGACATGTGATGTTGGTGATGAAGAAAAACGGGTATGAGTTAATCCCAGAAAAGTATATTGTTCCACGATGGACACGAAACGCGTGTGCACACCCATTATACCATGTCCCATGGGCAAGAAAAACAAATATTACCAAGACGAATGAAACAACAAAAGTTGCAAATCAACTATGGAATGAATTCTACAACTGCATGGGATTAGCGAATGGTTGGCCTGACAAGATGGACCAAATGTTGGCAACATTGCAACAACTGAAAAAAGATCTACAAAAGGAGGCACACCAAACACAAGAGGGAGCGCACACCGAATCCGTGTTTGAGAGACTAGTTGGACCAAGCAGACCAAGCGACATACAAATAACCCCCCCCCCCCAGGTTGCAAAAAACAAAGGGAGTGGAAAGAGACTCAAAAACAGCAAAGAAATAGCCACAACGAAGAACCAAAAGAAAAAGGAACGGACATGCAACATATGCGACCTCCCGGGCCACAACAGCCGCACCTGTCCAGATAAACTTGCATAAGCGAATGTTTGAAAGACTTTTGAATGTTATTATGTTTACAATTATGAACCGTATTTAATTACTCATATGAAGCAAACATTTTATTTAGTAGGAAAAAATGAACTGAAGGCGAAATGAACATTTTATTTTGAATGTAACACACTCACTGACACCGAAAGGCTGATACTGAAAGCGAGTGCCAACCACAGGAATATCAGACGCACGGTACTTAGACGGACGAACAGCTTTAATCGGGGCCGCACACCCAGCCCCCCCCCCCCCCCCGACAAAAGAGGGTCGCGGGAACCACCAGCCCCACCACGCTCCTGCAGAATAAAAAAATAGGCCAAACAACACTTAGCAAACTGTGAGCACGCACCCAGCACACTACATTGAACACCAGAAATACCAAATACAGGCACGCACATGTATCGCAGTCCGCTAGCACACCCTCTAAATATGTGAAACACTATTTCTACATAGATATAAACAAGACAAACCTCAGTCGGTGTAGTAAACTCCGGAACATCTGAGCCGACAGCATCACCACCACCCCCATCAACATTATCACCGCCCTCATCACTAGAACACTGCCAAGCACGAGAGCAAATACATACTTGCACACAATAACGACAACCAATATTAATCACTGCCAGGAAAAAAAAAAGTTAAAGAACAAACCTCATCTACAGTAGTAGTCTCTGGAGACTGCGGCATAGGGCAACCACCCACTCCTGCCCCCCCACCACCATCACCCCTAACAGTCCAGGTCAGTCCAGCCTCCTTCGCCGCGGCCGCCAACCCAGCACACATCACCACCAAGCTTACCGAATCCATAAGATTACCAGAGTCACGCCGGTTTAGCACATCAGCAGCTCGACCCCCAGCACCCGCCGCTGCAAAATCCTGAGTTAGGCCAAGGCTAAAAGACAGCATATCATCCACGCCAAACCCGTCAGAAATTTGCCGGAAAGCAGCCTCCAACTCTCGCACCCGACACTGCATAGGACCATACAAGCGACGACAGACCTCCCCATCCGCACGGCTACCACGTGCCATCTTGAAAAACTGAACCAAGCTATCAACCGAACTTGCAAAACCACCAACAGCCTCACCAACCACACATTCAAACGTCTAGGCAAACGAAACAAAAAGACACCACATTCATTAACATGAAAACAGTATTCACACTCTAGTCAAACACTATACACAACCCACACACAAGTCCAATAGTGCGCACGCAAAATACCCAACCGCCAAAAAAAAAAAAAAAAACAAGATTACAAAACCATATGCAACCCTACATACACATCATGCAGTGCTAAACCAATAAAAGCACGAATACGAAGATAAAAAAATTTGGTGTGCAAGCAAGACAAAATGGTGTGCACTTCTACCTTAGGCCCATGATCAAGAAAATCCACTTCAGCATTCAAGCCCACCCCAGTAGCCTCAATCTCCCCACGACCAAAACCACCACCACTCATCTCCGCAGACTCCCTAGCAAACAGCAAATCAGATGTCCACCCACGCAAAGACGGCACAACCCGGGGGACAGACCGCTCAAACACCAACACACGGTCCACATAGAAGAGCTGAAACAAAACACAACACAATAAGGGAATACCACAATGAAACAGTAAAAAGACACAAAATAACAAATACTATCATACCGCAACAAACTCCGCCGGGCCCACGAAGCATTTATGACGACCAGAAATCCAAGCATCCTGAGTTTCCACCAAAGAATCTAGCACCAGCTTGCACCAATTTAACTCGTGGATCCGAGAAACATCCTCAAAGCAATCAAAATACATTTGATTTGCATAGCCATTGCTCATACAACAAACCAGCGTAGATAGTGTAAGAACCGTTGGTAGGAAAACAAATAATAATCAAATAAAATTGACTATTATTTTCTGGAAAGAAGGGAAGAAAAGATGAAGAAAAGTGGCTAGTGTTTGGTGTTGGGTTTTTGCAAGAGTCGAGTGAGCACTCTTTCCTTAAAACCTTATTTGCCACCTCCCAAAGATGCTAGGAGCGTTGTGGCCTAGGCTTCCCAGGATAAAACTTGCTATGTGATTCAATGTTTGAGCACTCAAACAAGGAATCCGGCGAGCAAGGCAAGCTATGAACACAGTAGGCAAAGAAAGGGAGTAGAAGCAGAATTTTGAGACTGGAAAATAATGATTCGTGTATTGTGATAGTGCTGTAGTGTTCTTGAAATCTGCTTCTCACTACCTCTCTTATATAGGGGTGAAGGAGCCAATAGCTTTTAATGAGGCACTTTAAGGCACCCCCCACTACGCCTTGTAACAGCAACATTTACCATGGGTTTCAATTCAAAAATAAAGATTGGAATTAATTCAAGAATTAATTCCGTAACAGTAAGAATTGAACCCAACGGTCACAGAAAGCAGTACAGGTTCGTGAAGGCCGAAACTGGAAGTTTCGGCCTTGGTGCCTTGTCTCGTCTCGGCCTCCTTTGGCCGAGACCACAGTTTCGGCCCATGGCCGAAACTTGGATGGCAGTTTGGCCGAAACTGCTCCAGTTTCGGCCAACCTAGTGGCATTGTGTTGGAAAATTGTTCCGGAGTATGGCATAACTTAGCCCGCAAGGCCAGCCAATTTCCGGACGACATTCGTGCCCGCAGGTGCCGACGCACACGAGCTCGGGCATGTGTCAAACCTTCTTCAATCTCTGCTAGTTGGAATTTGATTTGCACCCCCCCCCCCCCCCCCCCCCCCGCGCGCGAGAGAGCCTCTATGCTATACAATTCTACAAGCTTCAAAAGAGCTCTTGTATATAGGGGGGGGGGGGGGGGGGGGGAATCTTCATTCCAAAGCAATGTGGGACAAAATCTCACTTTTTCCCTTCATTTTCCAACTCAAATGGGTCTACTTTGAGAATCAATATCTCATTCACCCATTATCCGTTTTGAGCGTACAATATATCGATCTCTTCGTCTCACTACGAAGAATCCGAATCCACTTTAACCCGACCCAAATCGGAAGTGGACCCCACTGATAATTGTACCACAAAATAGCCATTTAACATGCCATTTTAAGCTATTTTTTCCAACAGATAGCACCAACATACAAAAGTGCCTCTTAAACCAGTCACCACCATCAACCTCTGCAATAACCTTGTCTGTAACCATGGACAGCGACACCGTATACCGCACCTTCCCAAACAGCCCCCTCCAATGTCTCAACAGGTTACTAATCTGCTGCCTCTCACGCTTCACCATCTCGGACTCGCCACGTGGAAACCCCAACACCAATTCAACGTCGTGCTCATAAACAGGAAGGACTCTGCCACCACCCAAATCAAACGTCCTTGACTGCCCATCAAAGTTAGATAGGAGCCAATGCACAAGGCTAGGCGGACACTCGGACACCTTGAAATCCAACAAATGGCCAAACCCTAACCCCCTAATATCCTCTTTCTGTCGCGCAGACAAATCCTGAAGCGCATCAACAAGCACACCAGACTGCCCCCGAAACTTAACAGTCGGAAATTCACCATCCTCTTCTACAGGCCCCTCACCACCATCGGAAGAATCTTTAGGCGCATTCCACAGCGGGTCTTGCTCCAACCTAGCCAAGAAAGCCAAAGGTGGGGAAACGAAGTCATCATCGCTTGCACCCCCCTCACCCACTCGTAGAACAGGCCGCACCCCCTTAACTTTCTTACCTGCATAAAAGAAGACTCGCAATATTCACTAGACAGCTAACCAGACACAATTATGCCAACCCCTGCACACCTAAACAGGTAAAAAAAAAAAAAAACCACCTAGACACCTAACCAACACTAGAACGCACACAACTATGCCAACCCCTGCACAGTTCAAATACACATTTACAACACTAACATACCACAATTTAAGATGAATGAAACCTGGAAATAAACTACAATTATTATTGCTGTTATTATTATTACATACAAAAAAAAAAACAAAAAAACAAAAAACACAAAGCAACATGCCCCATCTAGCACATGATAGTGTAATTATTAGCCAACAAAATAATTTCACTGGACAATTCAAACCAAAACAATTCTAGTTGTTTCTAATGCCAACAAAAACAACAATACTAATCGGCATGTCATGAACAAATACATATACTAATTTAAAAGAAAAAAAAAAAAAAAAAAAAAAAAAAAACAAACAAACAAACAAACAAAACCGGAACCAGTCCCACCCCACCCCACCCCCGCCAACCCCACGAACCCAGCCAGCCCCCCCCCCTCCCCCCCCAACCGGAACACCGGAACCAGAACCCAGCACCACCGCCAACCCCCCACTGCCACAAGCAGCCCCCCCGGACCACACAGACAAAAAACCCACTCCAAACCCCCTAATCCTTGCCCTACAACACCGTCGTGCACCGCCAACGTGCCTTCCGACGGTGCATGGGAGCCCGCACCCCCAACCCAACCCGCCACAACCCCAAACGACCAAAAAAAAAAAAACCCTAGCTACAAAATTCGGCCAAAAAACGGCAGCCCCGACAACCCCCGATCACACCCCCCGACCTACCGGCCACCAAGCAACAAAAGCCCCAAAAAATTGAGCGAAAAAGATAGCATAAAGCAAAGAAAAAAAAAAAACGAAACTAACCTCCCCCTGTCTCCGGTGGTCCCCCCCTCTTCAGCCTGCCGCGGTACCCACCGACAACCATAGCAACGTGGAACGAACAACCCAATGTGCGCCTGAGACCAGATGCAAGCCAACGCGAGTGTGCTAATCTCGTCACACACACACCTGAAGCAAACCCAGCGAAGAGCGACAGAATAGAAGAGTCCAACGAAAGTGCGCGTGCGTTTGAGCGAAAGAATAGAAGAATACAACCTCTGACTAGGACTCATACTAAGAAAATACCAAATGTACCCCTCTTAACATAAAAACTCAATAAATTAACCAAAACCGCCCGCCCAAATCAGAGCCATCCAATCGCATCATCCAACGCACCAAATTAATCCTCATGTTTATATTTTAAGATGGGTTTTCACCTGAATA